GATGTTGGCGGATACCATCTAACGATACAGGCTCCCATATAACAGTGGATAGACCATTCATAGCAAGGGAAAGCACAGTGAATCATTGGATGGAGTATAGTGGAGAACCACTCAGAGGATCCGGTCCCAGCGCGGCGGTTGCAGCTGAAACAAGAAGAGTTTGCTGTTTATACTACACAGCCCCGCCATTTAGTGACGTTAGTACATCTCCATTGATGGATGATAAAGTAGATACGAGGCAAGAAGAATTGCATTACGCGATTAGGTGGAGTAAGTGTTCCGGTTAAGGTTCAAAGGACTCCGGTTGACTGAAGCTACCGACGGAAACGGCATCGCAATGACATTCTTGTTGTCTGTTCTTAGCTGGGCATAATGATTGAAAATGTGTCTACGCAGTTCGACGATGTACTGTGTGTGTTGACCCCTCACTCTCACTTCTCACCCCACCCCACCCCATCAAAAAACAAATAGTCTATTCTCTAAGCACTCCACACATTTGTACTTGACAACAATGAAGCACGTTTGCCGACACTGCCATAATCTGTCGTCGAAGTGGGCCAAACAAGGACGATAGTCCAAGTCGTGGTAACTACTACTCCTAGTATTAAGAACACTCTATGTGCGTATTTTAGCAAGCAAGAGGGTATGAAAAGCTTGACCGGGAAACTTGCTCAGATGGGTCACATTAGTCTTTCTGGTTGGGGGCATTGTGAACAATGGTCAGAGACACTAAGCGAAATGGTTATGTCGTAAACACTGGCGCTGGTGCATATTGTAACCTAGCTTTCATGAAAACTGAAATGTATGCTAGCTGAATCTCTAATGGTTTGGTGTATCTTTGATAAAAAGAAACATTTTGTGTTGGAAAATCTAATAGCCGCCGTTTTTACACAATTATGAATTCATTTCCACACCCACTAGTCATCAACTGCAAAGATCAGGGATAGTTGAGCAGAGTGCAGAAACATGGCGGGAGAACTGGAGGGCAACGAACGTTGTGATCGGATAGATAATCCGGGTTCTCAAGTGTCGCATGGCTATTTTATCAGATATCGACAGGAGTGAGGAGATTGGTTAATGGACTATGAGGATAAAAAACAAGTACACATTTCGTGTTCCTCAAAACAAGACCAAGCCGATAATTGATTGGTTCATGCAAGCACGTCGCACTTCGGTCAACCCCTTCGCTCTCCATACTGAGAGCAATCAGTATTCTACGGAAAAAGGAATTAGATTCACCGGTCTTCATTTGTTTTTATTACACACATTTATGTGAAGAACAGGACTCACCGGTCACGAAGACCAGCCATGTTTCAGTGATGAAAACCGGCAACTTAAACCCTAGAACTTGGAGTGACGAACCACATAATGCCCCTCCACAGTGGGCTTCTTTGGAAAGTTCGGCTTCCCGGTGAAGCACTAAAACAGTGAACTCTGACATTGTTACCGTTTTCCAAATTTCCGACTGGGGGTGTACATCGAAAAATGCAAAGTACCAAGTATGATGTCAAATGCAGTAACTCATATCAAATCGGCGTCAATAGAAGAAACACTGTGAGCCGCTACTATCAGTCTGCTTACACCGTATTTCACATTGCTCTTAGTCAACTACTCTGCGACATCATGTCTCACCCTTTCCTCGGGCATACACAACGTGCAATATTGTCTTTCCACACAGTATTCTTTTTTTTAATTCATCATTCAACCGCCGTGCGAAGAGGCGAAAAAAAATGCATATTTGAGCACGTTAGTCACGTGCCCTTGTGGTGACAGGCTTAGTCCGATCCAAAGTAAAACTATTCACCATATTGATCAGTGTTTTCCGCATCTCTGAATTCCAATCCATTAATTCACTATCGGGTGTCACCATTCGTTTTTTGTTGGATTCTAACACTGCTATTTGTGTTCACCTGGAATTGTATATGCCATACGCGGCATCGAACTATGTATGACTGGCA